CAACTCTTCTAGGTTTATTGTAATCTACTCATTATTAATTTATTGACTGTTAAGTTACAGAATCTGTACATATCTGGACCTTTGCACAGTTTCACCTTGGATGTCATTTTTGTCATTATCTTTCCATATCTGTTCCACATATGTTCAGCAATGTGCAAAATCCAGAAGTGCAGCATAAATACTTCTTATTTCAGAGTTTTTAATACACCAAATAATCTAATTTTAGAAGAATAATCTATCCCACAGTTTTTATAAATAAACCTTTACATACTACTTTTTCTACGAGATGTTTATATTTTATATCTGCACATTTCGTACTGTACTTTAAAAATGTCAGATCCTAATAACCATTAATTAAGTCTAAGACAGCCAATCAGGCCACAGTAAAAAATATGTACAAAAAAGACAGAAAAAATACTTGTCAAATCAGTTTGTACAACAGAATAATAAAAAAAAGGATAAGATAGCAAAGAAACGCAAAACAAGACAGAATTGTAGGATCAGTTCCTAAAATAAAATAAATAAATAATATTGAGAGCATTAAGAGCAACCAAAAACCAGTGAAAACATCTTCTGAAGGCACAACCTCCCTCTGCCTCGAACCAAGAAGTTTTAACATCTCCTGGTGCCAACACCTGCACAGCAGCAATCTTAGGACAGCCCTGAATTCAAAAGGTGCTGGACTGATGTTTTCTGCAGCAGGATTCAGCTGCAGCTGAGACTAATCAACATCCAGATACAGGAATCCAGCCGTGGGGTGATCGATGCAGTTTTCATGTCACTGAAACAAAGGATGGGTGGAAATAGAAAATCGAAATACTTGAGTTAATCGCCAAAGGGAAATTCAGTTGTTTCAGCAGAAAGAATACATTTACCACCACCACCATAAATACAGATAAATAAGCAAAAAATATGCAGTAAGTAAAAATAAAAAATAAGAAAACATAAAATGCACAACAAATGAAATATACTCTCTAAGTAAAGATGTATGATGTGATAAACTCTAAACTAAAAATGTATTTCCAATTAAAGAAAAGGCAAAATCCACAACAGTCACTAAAATAACTAAAAACTGGAAAAAGTAATACTAAATAAAAATTTGCTAAATTATAATTTAGTGAAATAAGACATTGCTTTTGAATTGTGGTCACAAAGAATTAAAAAATAAAAACTGTCCTGGACCAATGAGAGGCCTTTGCTGATGAGCAGTGGTCCAGAATACCTGTCAACAGGTGCACAAGTCTGACTGAGAGTTACAGGAAACACCTGATGGCAGTGATTGGCTCAGAGGGTTGTTCAGCTACATAGTAGTTTAGGGGTCCCATCATGCTTGTTTGCTTGTTGTTGTTGTTTTTATTTTATTCTATATATTTCTGTTGAACCACAATTCAAAAGCAGTGTCATGACTTTCATTCATTTTTTATTTATTATTACTTTTGTCAATTTCAGCTTATTTCAGTGACAGCTGTTTTTTTCCTTCTTTAATGGGAGGGTATGGACACATTTGAGAACGACTGTATAAATAAAAGATTTGCAAATTCATTCCATATTAAATACTAATTTAGTGTTTGTCAAGCTTCAGAGTAAAGTCCTGACAGAAGCCTGAAGGCAGCAGGAACAAAACATCACTCGTGTCGTTCAGTTTTTAATCCGACACTTGGCAATAAATTAACAACATTTCTGTTAAAAGGCATAAAACACCTTTTCCAGGTGTATTTCCGGGTGTCTGTCCCCCGGATGCAGCTGCGCCTATCGCGTCCAGCTGTTGGGGGTCATGTGACTCGGCTCCGACCACGTGACGTGTTTTGTTGACGTTCGTCGCTGCGTTTTGGAGAATGAATTCTGATCCCGGAGCTGCTGCTGCAATGTCATCGGCTCGCTAACGGCAGCACACCGAGGAGGACACACAGGCACCGGGCTGCCCTCGTCCTCACCGCCGCTGGAAGGTGACCGAGCGCCGGTCGGCGGAGGAGCGAGCCTCGCAGTGATGCTTTTATCGCTTTAACGCAGCAAGAAGAAGAAGAAGAAGAAGAAGACGCGGCTTCACCTCGACAGGAAGAAGAAACAGCTCGAGAAGTTCATGCACCGAAACCTGCTTTTTTGAGGTAAACTCTCGTATTTGTGTCACTAAAGCGCCACTGAGTCACTTCAGCGGAGACGCGTGGGTAATATTTTAGAGGGAAAAAAGGGATTAAACGGGGAATATTTCGGATATTTCCAGCTTTGTCCCTCAGCTCCATCATTTACATTCATCAGACCCCTCAGGGATTGACGGGCAGCTGGATCGTCCAATCAGGGCGAGCAGAAGGCCGCGGTGGACCAATCAGAGGAGGCAGTGTTGAGTTGGGGGGTGGGGGTTCTCCTGCCTGGTCCCACTAACCGAGAAATGGAGGCTGTAAATATGAGACACATGGTCCTCTGATGTGTGATTATATGAAACATGAGCCTCTGATCAGGATGAATGGATCCAGTGTGGAATCAGACAACTGGTCCACGTTATTAGATTTCTGTATCCAGGCTGTGAAGCGAGACAAACAGCTGATTATTGATCCGTCCTGGTGATTAGTTATGGATCTGTGAATTTAGCTGACATGTTACAGGTGTGTTTTATATCCTGCTTATCTGCTGAACTCAGGTCCAGGCGCTCATTTTCATTTTTTATAGCAGCCGTAAAACTTTGTTCTCTCTGGAAGTGTCGTTCCAGTTTCCAAACATGACTAAAACATCGTGATAATCATGATGCCGTTGATTGCTCAGTTTCACTTCTCTTTTTAATGTTTTCTCCACTTATTGCTGAACAGAAACTCAAGAGTCCTTCGCAGCCCTTCATCAAACCTTTCAATTAAAAATGTCTCTCTCTATTTGCAGAAGGCCGCCTGCTCTGTGTCCTCATTAAAATGGCGATCATGAGACAGTTTGGACTGCTGGTGTGGAAAAACTATCTGCAGCAGGTGAGTTGTTTTGGCCCTCTGTAGGTTTCTGGCGTTAGTTGTGTTTTGTCAGAAGCGACGTGTTTACAGAGCCTGTACGACAGCGCTGGAGTTATATGCGACGGGGCGTTGTAAATACAATAAAGTGACTAACATTCAGTCTCAGATGTTTTCCAGCTGCTGCACAACTGGTCAGCAACACAGTTTGTCTCTGCGTGTTGTCGTGTCACATTCTGTCTCCAGGTCAATGTGTCGGCAGCTGTCACATGCTCTTCAGGCCTTATAAGGCTCTCTCGCAGAGGAAGTCGCTCTTAACACCTTTAATTTCTTAAATTGTTGTGAAACACGTCTTGAGACGGGAATCATGTGACAAGAAAACATTACGGTCAGGCTTTTTTCTATTGTGTCTGAAGGAACAGCGTATCAGCAGGTTCACGGTCTGTCCGTTTACAGAAGATATCTTCTCCTGGAGCAGTGATTGGTTAGATATCAGTACATTCTTGGCGGCGTGTTGGTCTGAATGGCTGCTTGCATAGTTTGGAACTTTAATATCAGGGGATGATTTCACAACGCTGCAGCTGTTGAGAAACGAAAGTGTCCGTGTGCTGTGGATATGAGTGCCGGGAGGTTGTCCTGCATCACTTTCTATCCTCTCTGCTGCTCCCACGAAGCATTTTCACGCCGTGGTGTGTTTTAAAAGTCCGTTGTGTTCTCACATTTTACTTTCACCAGCAAAGTATGAACATTTGGGCCTGCAAGAGTAACTGGTGTCGTGACTCACTTTAAAAACATATTTCCAGTTTGTCTACATCACATTTGCATTTTTTGATGAAATCTTGCTTGTTTGCAGATCAGATGGTGCAGCTTTGGATGTTATCTTATGGCAGAAAAGCCTCACAATGAACCAGCTAGAACAGGCCATTAAAAACAAAAGAGGCTTTGAAATAAACATGTAACGACTTAAGAGGCTTTTGTTGACGGGAGAACGTAAAAGAACGAGGCTCACTGTGATTCCTTAGTTTGAGTGTTGGCGTAGAATCTCAATAAGCTAAACATTTTGACGCGTCAAACTCAAACAAGAACCTGAATTACTGTTCATGGATCTTTTAAATCACGTTGTAGCCGATCAAAGTAAACTAGTCTGAGCAAGCTTTTGTTTATGACCTGACAGGTCAGTAAAACTTGGTCAGTGTCCAGAAAGGTTCAGTATGCAGCCTCCAGATTTACAGAAACAGGGAAAGTGTGTCGTGGAGCTGCAACATTCAGATTTAGGTCAAAGATTTATTTGTGTGAAACTGTCCGAGTCTCTTTATACGTCAGTCAATCAACATGAGCTTTGTTTCAGCTTCCTGTGTGATTCTGAAGGAAGAAAATCAGATTCAGACCTTGTTTGAACTAAGAATTATTTGCATTTTTACAAAATATAGAAAGAATGTAAAGGAGAGGTTGTGCTTTATGTCCTTTATGGAGGCCGTAAAAGAGAGTTTATTTAATTCCACGGTGGTTTACTGCAGTTACTATCTGTGTTTAACTTGCAATTAAAAAAAACAAAACATCATGTAGTACCTCACTGCTCCATCAACAGACTTTCTTTCTGTCTCTGTGCTGCAGAAACGTCAGATCCTGGTCACTCTGGTGGAGATCATCCTGCCCCTGCTCTTCTCTGGCATCCTCATCGTGCTGCGTCAGAAGGTGGCCTGTAAGGACTTCCCCAACGCCACCGTCTACGAGAGCTACGCTGTGGACCGGCTGCCGGGGATATTCGTCATGCAGCACCTGCAGCTGGCCTACGTTCCGGGGAACTCCAGCGTGGTGCGTCAGGTTGCCGAGGATGTTCGAAGCAGCCTGTTCCTCTCCTCAGGTAGTGGTTACAAGAAACGGGAAGCGTGTTTGTTCAGCACAAGAATGCTGGCTCATTTAAAAAAGCACTTTCAGTCCAAAACTTGGGGAAAGTAGAACATCCAGAGCTGAAACCGCTTCAGCTGACACTAACTGGCATCAAGACTCCTCAAAAGCATTTTTGCATACATGAGAGCTTTTTTTATTTACTTTTTATTTTTTTTAGTTTTTAAGCGTTTAACTTCCCACAAATTAATGTTTTTGTGTTTCTTTTGTGGCCTCTATGTTTTCTGAAGGAATAGTTTAACATTTTGGGAATTATGTGTCCAATCTGGTAAACATTAGATGGCAGGTCTGTTAGCTTAGCATCCTGACTGGAAACAAAGGAAGACGACTGGTCCGACTTTACCTGATGTTGACATGAAGCAGTCACAGCTGTTGTTCTGTCTGACCAACAGTTTTAAATGTTCTAATGGGAGGAACCCAGAAATGCTGCAAACTTTGACATTTGATTTTGTTTTTAAAATAAATATTATTTACTTTCTTTAGAACATAAATTTAAAAAAGTTTTTGAGGCGCCATTGATGCTGCCTAAAGGAACCATCCTTTGATGGTACTTTTAGGGTTCTTTCAAGAACTGATTAAAGGACTGTTCGTTAAAGCAGCTAGCTAACACATCCTGGCCTGTTTTTTTAATACCGTCTAAGGACAGTAAATGAGATAAGGTAGCTCTATAAAGCCGTGTTGTCTTTGTTCTTCTGGCTCTTGTGGTGTGTTTATGGGTCAGATATTGGACTGTTGTTGTTCCTCTCCAGATGTAATAAAAACAAGTGTTTGCTGGATGTTACTGCCGGCATGTTAGCAGACGTGCCGTAAAGTATTTAAAACAACCTAATTCCGCTGCTGCACAGTGTTAAAGCTGCCAGTGTAACCAAAGAAACAAACATTAAGACGGATCTGGGAATACTGGTTCCTCCAGAAACAGCCCCCACGAGGGCCACTCCCTTCGCCGGCCTGGACCAGCTGGAGATTAGAGCATGAAGCGTCCTCCCTCAGGACACCTACATCCCTGTTTAACCTGCTCTGTGTGTCCAGACCAACCTGCAGACAGTCGCACACTCTTCACACGTTGGTTTCATCCCGACAGGCAGCACAGACAAATAGAAATGTGCAGTGTGAGGCTGCAGGTAGACAGATCCGTGTCCTCTACACAGCTCAGCTATTAATGAATAATTTAACTGGTGTCAGCGTTGGGGGGGAGGTGGAGGAGCAGGATCTGAGTTTTAGCTTCGTCAGGTGAACACAAGACCCCGAAATGTGTGCTCCAGGGCTAGAAAGCTTCTGTGGAGCAGATGTTGGCTCTTGGTGGGTTCACGGTACAGTGTCAGTAGTTGGACTGTGACGGGCTTGTTTTTCAAAGCGTGTTGTGAAATGAGGTGTCCGGTTGTAATCTCTACTTCTGTTGTTGTTAAAAACGAGTCTAAAGGGTCATCATTGATCTGTTGTTATTTCCAAATGATTAAAAAAAATCCCATCACGTGCAGGAATGAAAATCTTTAGCCAGAAGAAATAATTGCTTCTCTCAATAGAATAAAACTCACAAATCACTGGACTCTCGTTAGTTAAACCAATGATTCTTAACCTTTTCTATTCTCATCAGATGAGCTCCTTCACTGATGCGACAGTCGTGTGTGTTTATTTGAGCTGATTTAATCGTACAGCTGAATTGTCCATGTATCGTGTGTGTTCCCATTGCTTTTAGCTAATTGTTTAAACAGATTAACCTCCACTTCTAGCTCATTGTTTCGTCTGTGGGATGCGTGTTTGGAGCATATGTCTTATACTGTCTACTCAGCTTGGTTCGTTGTTTAAAATGACTGTTAGATGATTATATAAACTGTGGAAGCGTCACTCACTTTGCTTTCGGTGACTGTCTCTCACTGCACAACTTAATCTCATGTCAAATAAGAGGAAGATGCCTCAGAGCCCCTCCTTTATTTACATATGTGGTGAACGGGACCAAGTCTGAACATCACAGAGACCTTCAGTCGACTGAGGTCCACACAGATGTCTCACTATGCTGAGCGCTTTCTCATTTACTTACACTGAAAAGTCCTTAAAAATGCTGCTTTCCTGCTCTGTCTGTAGCGGCTCGGATTAATGAGACTCACAAGTAATGAATGTGATCTGGCTTTTAAACTAAACTTAACAGCAGCTTCAGTAGATGCTTCTGTCTGAGTTTGTTGACACCTGCAGCCCGAGAAGCAGCAGGATCCCCACGAGAAACCTCAGAGGGAGCGTCGTGGGTGTAAATGTCAGCTGGGGTCACGTCATTAATTGCTTATAATTATAAATAATTTCTGACACGGAGCCACGATCGATCAGGACAGTAGCAGGAAGTAACATTCTGTGCTTTTCTGCACCTCAGACAGGTTATTGTTTTACTGTCAGTAAAAATGGGATCTGTTTACTGAAGTCAGAAGATGACGGAACATGACCTCTGATCATTACAGTCTATCTGGATGTGGCCTAGAAACACTAAAAATTTTATGGCACCATAAGACCATGGACTAACTTAGCACAGATAGCTTATTGTCTAATATGACAGTAAACTAACTATAAATAACATTTTTATGTTTCTCTTAAACACTAATGTGAAGATTTTTCTGTATCTTACTCCAGCCCTCCTGTTAGAAAACACTTGTTGGGATTCACTGAGTTGAACCTTTTCTTCTGTGTGTGCTGTGACTGTTTGAACCTGAGCTCCTGGTTGCTTCACTCTGTGTTTGTTTTATGAGCGTGACCCAGATTTAACCCTGGAGCCGGTGTGTAACTCTGACGTCCTCAGAATACCTTCATGTGTTCTTGATAAGTGGAACCAAAACGTAGCATGAAGTGAATTTTTTATTGTTTTTGGTCTGTTCTTGCTCATCCTGCGTTCAGGGTTTTTCTTGTCTGTGGTGCAGATGATGTTTCGGCCTCACAGCATCTATTTAGCATCTGGCTCTCTTGTATTGATAATGCTGGTCTCGGGATTCGGTATGCCGACCACATGTTTGAGCCTCTCACTGCCTGTCAGGCAGAACAGCAGCGAGGTCGGCCTTGAAGACAGGCGTGCGTGAGATGACTCCCGCAGCTAACGTCATCTCGTGTGTTTGTTTGTGTTGCAGTGCGAGGCTTCGAGACGGAGGAGCACTTCGAGAACTACGTGAGGAATGACCCGCAGTCAGGGAAGCTGCTGGCTGCTGTGGTGTTCGAGCATCCCTTCAGCCACGACGACGAGCCGCTGCCTCTGAAGGTAGCGACCGCGCTGTCACACAGTCCGCCGCTGAACGTTTCACCAGTAAAACAGGCTGAGTCACTTTGCTCTGCCTCCTTAAGTCCTGTTGGATCACCTGTTTACAGTTGGTGGTTTGACTAGAAGGAAAAATGCGAACAAACAAGTTTGTTTCAGTCAGAACAGAGGTCAAGGTGGAAACGTGCAGCAGGACACATAGACTCATGGCTCAGTGCAGTCGGATCATTGTGGGAAAGAATGATCAGAGTTTAAAAGACTCTTCAGCACCAGGAAGACAAATGTGGTCTCATAATTAAGACTGAATTGTGTTTCTGCCAGCTTCCCTTTCAGTTCAGTTCAACATTCATGAACAGGAAGTAATGAAACAAACCACAAGACACCTTCATTTCTCACCGTCTGCTTTCTCTTTGTTTGCATTCGTTTTCTGCTCAGAAAATAGAAAATATAGAACATACAGAATACCTGCTTAGAAGTGCTTACAAGTCAAAGCAGGCAACTGGAAAACAAAGAGGAGTTTCTACAATTCTACAGAAATGGTTGTAAAAATCTAATAAAATGGCTACAAAATAGTAGATCTGAATATAGATTGTTGTATATATATACTGCCTGTTTAGACTGGCTGGTTTTAACTATTGAAATGACTAATATCCTGGTCTATCTTTCAGTGTAGCATGAAGCTGGATCTGGAATTAAACCAATACTTTTTTTTAAGGTTCAGTCAAGTGGTCGCCTTGTACCACTGTCACTAAAATAGATCCAGCGTTTGTTGTGCTTTATTTCAGTTTCTTCAAATCCTGCAGAGGTGAAGTTAAAATTAATAGAACAGAATCATCAATGTTCGTTATTTACTCTCTAGTTCATACTTTTGATTCGGCAGAAAGAAAAAAAACATGTATTGATGAGGACTCAAACTTCCCCAAGTGCCTCTTTTCTGTAGAGCTCAGAGTTGTTGGATTTGGTTTCACAGCTGTGGAGCTCTTACTGGCTGAAGTTACTGCACCGAAATAATAAACTGCATTTGCATTTTCTTTAAAAAAACAAAAGTGTCTATAAATTGAAATGTTTAAGAGCTTGTTTAGCTACATTTTCAAGGACCGTGTGCATGGAGTATCCCTGCTGACGCTGTTTTCTTATTCGCCCTGTGATGTACAGGTGAGCTACCACCTGCGCTTCACCTTCACCCCTCGCAACGCCCCGCCGAGGGAGAAGTCGGAGCTGAACCCGAACAGCGACCTGGACTGGCACACGCTCAGCTTGTTTCCTCTGTTCCAGCTGCCCGGTCCGAGGGAGCGGCGGGACAAGGAGGGCGGCACACCTGGTGAGACGGTTTATTGGGTCCGCTATTCTTACAGACGTCGCATCTTTATTTTTAAGTTTCTTGTTCATCAGCGGCCTCAAAGATCGTTTGAATTTTTGACTATCTGTGGAGCGACGGGCCCTCTCTTAAGGCTGTTTCCATGGCAACCACATCCCTGTCTCGGTGCTATCTGGCTGCTGGCAGGATGCCGTGGGCCGTCACGTCGTCTGTGGGGCATTTATGGGTGTCGGGGGGCTGTGGCTGAACAACAGCAGGCCCAGACCCTTATTCTAATGAAGCTCCAAAGTGACTGCAGTGGCAGGAGGAGATGTGCTGCTAAACATGTTGTCATCCTGACGAGCTTTTAGAGTCACATGAATATGGATCTGCTTCCTCCACATGCTCCCGTTTAGCTAGTCAAGACTCTTGTTGGCTCCAGACGGAGGCTGGATGGAGGGTTTCAGGAATTAGAGTGGCCGTGACTCATTTCTTCCAGATCAGTGATGATTTAATGGTCGCATTTACATATTCTGTTCAATAATGTCTCCTTTTGTTCAGGTTATTTCCGAGAGGGCTTCCTGGCGGTGCAGCACGCGGTGGACCGAGCTATAATGCGCTCTTACAACAGAACCGCTGCTGCTCCTCTGCTGCGACAGACCAGGGTGGTTCTGTCCCGGTTTCCGTACCCCGCCTACATATACGATGTCTTCATCCTGGCCATCCAGAACCAGCTGCCCCTGCTGCTGGTGCTCAGCTTCACCTACACCTCCCTCAACATCGTGCGAGCGGTGGTGCAGGAGAAGGAACGGAAGCTCAAGGTGCGTCTGGCAGCCTCGGTGTGAGTTGTTCTGAAAGCGGTGATGAAACTGTCAGACTCATCCTTTGCCTCTTTCTCAGGAGTATATGAGGATGATGGGTCTCAGCAACTGGCTTCACTGGAGCGCCTGGTTCCTCATGTTCTTCCTCTTCCTCTCCATTTCAGTCTTTTTTGTGACTTTGCTGCTTTGTATTCAGGTGAGTCAGTGGTACTAATTTTGTTCACATTCCAGCCTGTAAGACCTTAATTAAGCTGTAATCCAAACCCAGACAAAGAAACTGATTGTAAAGCATTTTATCGAAGAGCAAATTGTCCTATTATAACAATCCTAACATTAGATAGTTGTTACTGTCACTGGACTACAGATTGAGGCGACAGTTAAGTTCAGAATAAGTTTGTTTTTCACTCAGAGGCTATAAATGTGTCCTATAAAGTCACACCTGACTCCTGACTGTGTTCAGGTGAGCCCTAACGGAGCAGTGCTGACCTACAGTGACCCCACGCTGGTCTTCGTCTTCCTGCTCGTCTTCACCGTGGCCACCATCAGCTTCAGCTTCATGATCAGTGCCTTCTTCTCCAGAGGTGCGTTTCTGTCTTTTCTGAATGGGGATTCTGCCTCTCGACTCGGTCTGCTGCTCTGTGCTGAAGTTTGAAAATGGCTTTGGCTCTGGTTTGCTGAACTGCAGCAGCTTGTGGTCTCTGAGATGTAGGTCAAAGTTTTCTGCTGTTTGTTTTGTAACTCTGGAGCATAAAAGCAGTAATAAAAGACAGAGTAGCTGTAAAAATCTGCAGTTGTGTTCATAGACATGCATTTATACTTACACCTTTACTGATCAAGTATGAGACTGTAAATATGGAACTACTTTTAATAAGTCTGTGCTCGAGTTAAATCAGGTCGGGACTCATTCAGTCGTGTGAAATTCGAGCAGCGCGTTGGGCTGGACAACCTCGCTGATAAAGAAAACTATTTGCATCTCTCCTTTCTCGGGCTTCTCTTCTCCCTCCCTCTTTGCTCTCTGCTCATTCAAAGCGTCTCATTCAAACCGGCAATCCATCCGGCCTTCCCCAGAAACAGCAGCTCAGATTGCAAATCCTTCTTGGTTTTATGCAGCTTTCTGCAAAGCGTCACTTCATTTACCAGCCAGCCTGTAGTTTGTTGTTCCTTTGTTCCCTTTTGACCACAATCACAAGAAACAGTTAGAGGAAAAACCTTAAAGCTCCACTGAGGTGTTGACGTTCATACAGATAGTGTTTCTGTTTTCTGAGCCATGTATTATTCTTGTCTCTTCCTGTCTCTGTCCAGCTGTCTTCACTCAGCCTGTCTGTGATTCTAATATTTGACTGACTAAAATCATTAAATCGGGCCAACTGCTGCTAATCTCAGCGGAGTAATTAGCTAAAGAAACTGCACCGTTATGCCGGTTTCTCTGTGACACTGTGCATATAAAGTTGCTGAAATACAAAGACGTCATTATATGTTGAACCCCGTTTGGGTTCAACATATAAATGATAATTTGTAGATGGAGGAGGAAGGAGGAGGAGATGAAGGGCTTTTACAGAAAATAGGGCCGAGCCAGCAGAAAGGATCCTTCAGTGACCTGCTTGGTCATTCCTGAACAAAGACGGACTCTTTTTCTCCCTTGGCCGTCTTTGTGTTTGCAGCTGTCCTTCCCACCCACTGCAGGACTTTTTGGAAACAGATAATGGCTCTTAATCAATGCATGTTCGGAGCTGCCTCAAAATGTCACATTGTCTGCAGCAAGTGGTCTTCAGAAGTGCAAAAATAGGCCTTTCATTCTGCTCATTCACTCAGCTTCGCTCTCCATTTTTCCTCCTCTGGTCAGCAATCAAGGAAAAGGTTAACTGCTGAATCCAATTCTCAGGTTTCTCTTTGTCAAAGCTCCTGTTATTTAAAGCTGCATTAGTCATGAGTCTCTCATTATTTCTTTTATGTCCATCTTTAGCCAATGTGGCGGCAGCAGCGGGGGGATTCATCTACTTCCTGAGCTACCTGCCTTATCTGTTCCTGTGGCCACGCTACGACCTGCTGAGCCATGCCCAGAAGCTGTCCGCCTGCCTTATCTCCAACGTGGCCATGGCCATGGGAGCACAGCTCATAGGAATGTTCGAAGGAAAAGGTCGTCAAACTAAGTTTAAGCACATTATTATTCGTTTCTGTGTGTCTGCCGGCTACACCAGGGATTTGTGGAGGTTAATTTTATTTTCCTGCTCCTCAGGCACGGGAATCCAGTGGTCCAACTTGTTTGACTCTGTGACGGTGGACGATGATTTCTCGCTGGCGCAGGTCCTGGGCCTGCTGCTGTTCGACTCAGTGCTGTACGGGCTGGTGGCCTGGTACATGGAGGCGGTTTTTCCTGGAGAGTACGGGGTGCCGCTACCGTCGTACTTCTTTGTCCTGGTACGCTGTGAACTGCTCACACATGCAGATCCATTTTATTTGTATAGCACTTTTCAAGAACTCAAAGACGCTTTACCGGATAAAAGAACCATAAGAGCAACTAATACAAAAGTAGACTAAGCAAAAACACAAGCAAGCAGATAAAAACAACACAAGATATCAATATGAAGGTTTAAGTAAGAAAAGCAGAGCGAAACAGGTGAGTTTTTAGTTTGGATTTGAAAATGACCGGGTCTGTGGTGTCACGGATGTGTTGTGGGGGCGGCGACAGAGAAGGCCCTATCCCCCTAGGTTCAGTTCTTGGTCCTGGGAACAATCAGGAGGTTGGCATTAGCAGAGTGGAGGGTACATGAAGAGGTGTAGGGGTAGAGCATATCTTTGAGGTAAGAGGAGACATACAGTCCTGGAGGATGAAACCAAACACAGACTCATTAGCGGGCTTTAATCCATGCAACCCTCAGGTTGGTTATTAGAATCACTTTTCTTTAATCATTTTGCATGTTCCAAACCATATTTTGTTTAATATTTTCATGATTCAATCCATACACATGAATGACAGACAGACACATTTACAGTCATTCATTGACCTGAGTAGATTCCCACCAGTGAACACTGCAAATGATGTGTTGAACCAAGGATTGCACTTGAATCAGAAAAGACTTTTTCATTTAAAGAAGCATTATCGGCGTTTAGTGTTCAGGACTCACAGCTGTAGAGTCTAAGGTCTGCGTCTTCTGTGGGAGAAAATGAGGTGAAAGTGGGAGCAGAGGGGAGGTCGGCCAGAGGAAGTCTTCAGGATCAGCTCGTTAGAATAACAGGAAACGTCTGAGTCTCTGCAGCCAACGCAAATAAAGTTTATCTTTACAACTACTATGGACCATCACGAAATCGCGTGACATTACACAACCACACTTGCATAAAAATACACTCATGTTAAACCATTTTCCAGGAATCAGGAATCCAAGAGGCTGCCAGCAGGGTGTGGAAGAGACACTGACGCACTTCACTCTGCCTCCATTGTGTGTGGGTGGGTGGGAGATGCTGCTTCTGAGCAGAGAAAGTGGAGGTTTGACTCTGGTTCTTAGGAAGTGCACCAGAGGGTGGCTCGGTCAGGAAGCTATCTAATGTGTACATGAACAATAATGGTGTTGGCCTGCTCTCTCCGGGTTTTAGTGAATGATTGTGCTCCTCCGCTTCCCTCGTTTCATCCCATAATTAGCCCGGTTCAGTCATAAGTCAGTGTGCAGTCATAAGTCAGTGTGTGGTGTAATAAATAAGTAATAAATGAATAGTGGAATTGCAAAGGGCTGTTATATGTGCAGCTTTTAAATCTGGGGTTGGGTTTGTCTTCATCTGTCCCTGTTGTTGTTTTAATCCTGATCTGCAGCCTTCGTACTGGTGCAGCAGCCCTCGCATGGCTTTGGTGAATGAGAAGGAGGAAGAGGAGGATGCAGAAAAGGCTCTGAAAGGAGAGTTTATAGAGGAGGAGCCCGCTGGACTCGTCTCCGGGATAAAGATTAAACATCTCTCTAAGGTGAGCAGCACAACACTGACCCCAGAGGGCTGACGTGTTCAGTGGCGATGAAGGTGATGGTTGCACAAGGCTACTCTGCCCCCTGTGTCGTCCTCATGTAATGCGTGTAAATGTTTCTTCTGTTTCACAGCAATTCAAAGTGGGTAACAAGACCCGACAGGCTGTCAGAGATCTAACACTGAACATGTTTGAAGGACAAATCACGGTGGTTCTGGGACACAACGGTGCTGGAAAGACCACAACACTGTCCATGCTAACAGGTGACGAGGCTGAAAACACCTGTCAACACGCACATTAAACGAAAAGATGACATTGACCCTTGTGTGTTCCTGTGTCAGGGCTCTTTCCTCCCAGCAGTGGCAGGGCCTACATCAATGGTTACGACATCTGCCAGGACATGGCTCTGATCCGACGCAGTCTGGGACTCTGTCCACAGCATGACGTGTTGTTTGATAACCTCACCGTGAGAGAACACCTGCTCTTCTACGCACAGGTATCACACTGCTAAACACAAACGCACACAGACCAAAGACTCGTATGTTGTCGTCAGCTGCAGCTTTGTTTAAATGATTTCGTCATATTTACATTATTTCCATATTAAACTGTATTTATTTTTCAAAGCAATAAAATACATTTAAAAGAGCAACAAAACAGCATCATCTTGCAGAATGTTTGCATAACTGTTGTTAAAGTAGTTCTATGGATCCATAAATGGACCAGTTTTCTTCCTTCTTTGGTGTCCTTTCACAGAACCTTGATTAGCAGGATATCTGCACTCTTTCAGTTCTAAAACACTAAACTTCTCCATTTTAACAACAGCAGACACTTCAGGCTCTCCACTGACGTTTGTATAAAGCCGATGCTGTGGATGACCGTATGATGTGCTTGTTCTCCTCTGCAGCTGAAAGGATACTCCAAAGACAAGATTCCAGATGAGGTGGACCGGATCATCCGGATCCTGAACCTGGAGGACAAGCGACAGGCTCGTTCCAAGACACTCTCCGGTGGCATGAAGAGGAAGCTGTCTATTGGCATCGCCCTCATTGGAGACTCCAAGGTCAGGAGCTTCACTCTCATTGCTTCTGCTCCTCACCGTCAGCCTCCTCTCACCTCTTCTCTCTGCCCGTCTCCAGGTCGTCATGTTAGACGAGCCCACGTCAGGTATGGATCCGTCGGCCCGGCGGGCCACCTGGGACCTCTTGCAGGGAGAGAAACGCGGTCGCACCATCCTGCTCACGACACACTTCATGGACGAGGCCGACCTGCTCGGAGATCGGATCGCCATCATGGCCGGAGGAGAGCTGCAGTGCTGCGGGTCGCCACTCTTTCTGAAGAACAAATACGGTGAGTGACTATAACGCTAACAGGAAGACAGTTGTTCTCTCCTACAGAAAATATAGTACATTGTTGTGTTTTTTTGAAGCAACTTAATTACACCTTAATTATAGTTGAACTGCTGGGAACACTGAGCACGTTATCCGCTGCAGCTGGTCATGATTAATGCAGGGTTTTATATAACATACCTGGATATCAGGGTGAAGCTGCAGTAATTAAACTGCACGCCAGCATTAATCATACTGTTCCTCTCTGCTCACCAGGTGCTGGTTACCACATGGTGATAGTTAAAGATGCTCTCTGTAATGTGTCTGAGATCACTCGCCTCGTTCACATGTATGTTCCCAACGCCACGCTGGAGAGTAGCGCCGGCGCCGAGCTCTCCTACATTCTGCCCAAAGAAAGCACCAGCAGGTGAGTTGGCCGGGCGTCGGATCACAAAGAAAACTCTGATATGTCACGCTTCGCTTCGCTGAATGACTAAACGATAATTGCTCTCAACTGTTTGAAAGCTGGCAGTAATTATAGAAGGTCCCAAAATGGATCAGTAGAATCATAATATGGCTCATAGCCACATACTGGTGACGTAATTATAATGAATACAGATTAACAACAGCGGCTTATCTTTTATATCAGGGGTGCCAAACTCATTTTCATCCCGGGCCACGTCAGCATTGTGTTTGCCCTCAAAGGGCCGGTTGTAATTGTAAGACTGTATAAATGTAATGACTCCTGAACATTTTGTTGAATAATTGTCCCTGTATTTGATTATTATTTATTCTATGTACAAATATTGTGCATACCTTTACCTAAAAGTAAAATATATGTTGGCACATTGCCACGTTATTCTAGCATTATATTAAATTATATTACGTAAATCCCATTAATTTATCATATTAGGAAACACACATCTCTTGTGGGCCACATAAAATGACACAGCGGGCCGGATTTGGCCCCCGGGGCTTGAATTTGACACGTATTTTATATCATTCTATATGCTCTATTTAATTGTGTTCTTTCATTAAGCATGCTTCATATTCATCACTAGCTCCTGTTGTAATACTGCCTTCATTCTCCTGTTTCCCTGTTTGGGTGTTTTCTCTCAGGTTCGAGCTGCTGTTTGCTGAGCTGGAGATGAACAGAGAGGAGCTGGGCATCGCCAGCTACGGAGCTTCAGTCACCACCATGGAGGAGGTTTTCCTCAGGTAGGAGATGAGCGATGTGGGCGAATGCGATCGACTTTTCTAATTTTCCACGTCAGTAGGATCCCAGAACAATTCTCCTTCTGCATTTTCAATTAAGCAGCAATTTCATGCTGTGAGGAATTGTAATGTACAGCCG